GAATGCAATATAATGTCATGTGATGTAAATAATGCTTTGTTCGTACCTGAATCGGTAAGCAAACAAATGAGTCAGAAAGGAAGGAGCGAATGAAGCGGGAAGCAAGCAAGCAAGCAAGCAAGCAAGCAAGCAAGCAAGCAAGCAAGCAAGCAAGTAAGTAAGTAAGTAAGTACGTAGGTAGGTAGGTAGGTAGGTAAGTAAGTAAGTAAGTAAGTAAGTAAGTAAGTAAGTCAGTAACTATGCACTTAAGTAAGTAAGCAAGTAAGGAAGTAAGCAATTAAGCCAGCAAGCGGGTACGCCGGTCCGTCTGTGTGTCTTTTTGTCTGTGTTTGTCTCTCTGTCTGTCTTCCTGCCTGCCTGCCTGCCTGCCTGCCTACTTGTCTCTGTCCGTCTCTGTCTGCCTCTGTTTGCCTCTGTGTCTGTCAGTGTCTGTGTTTGTGTGTCTCTACCTTTCTGTCTCTATTTGTCTGTCTGCCTCTGTCTGTCTGCCTGCCTGTCGGCCTGTCTGTCTCTGTACATATGTATATATATATATACACATACATACATACATACATACATATGTATGTGTATTCAGCATGCAAATTTCTTCATTATGTGTATGTCTGTATTTGTATGTATTTGTGCGAAGTTCGTACATATTTAGATGCATTAGCATGCAGCAGTATGTATTAGCGTGTAGTAGGTATTTGCAGGCATGTGAGTACGTATGCATATCTATACGTACATGTAGATGTGTATGCATATGCACATGCACATATGTACGTGTGTCTGCATGTGTATGTGTAGGTACGTATGACTACATGTATGAATGTGCCCATGTTTTCTGTTCTAGATCTGAGTTTCTCGTTATTTTTGTTTCGGAGCAGGACCGTTGTCGATTCTTCGAGTAGGGTTCTGTCCCGCTCCCACCTGCTTGCTGGATGATGGAGGGTGCTGATGTTGACCATCATCCGGACTCACTTTAAGATTGACGCCGTGCTAGCTGGCTAATGTGGCATTGTCCCTTTGGCCGTTTGCTTTTTGAAGGCTTGCTCAATCAACTTTAGTAAGATGGACATGTCGTGCTAAGCTTGCAGGGCTCACCGCGCTGAGACAACGGCTAGAACAGCGGGCAGCGCGTGGAGAGCCACGCGGCTGTGTTTCCATAAGTTTCGTTAGTATAGGGCACAGGGCCTATAGGGTTTTAATTTAGGGTTTAGGAGGTTTAAGGGTTTGAGTAATGTGTGGTCATATCCCAAGTGGGACGCGCTCCTCGTGAGCACTCTTTTCCCCTCAGGAACAGATCGTATCCCCTTAGAGTAGTGCCTATATAGCTAGAGAAATATAATAACATTCCAAAGCGCGCATTCAAATTATCAATCTCCTTGTACATAGTTCCTAGTGAGGGACTTCGCACGCTTTGTTCGGTACGGCATAGACGGTTTTGCAGGCAAGCCTGCATGTACTCCTGCACCAGCAAGATAGATCCCTCACGCTCCGTAGGTGTAAAGCCCAGCGCGCCATGACGGCTTCATAAGTTCATCTAACCCCCCATGCAACCCAACGAAGCCACATACAAACTTCATAGAAGCCTGCAAAACTAGAAAGCATCCCATAAAGCCATATGACGCTCCATAGAGCCTTTCTACAACCTTGTAGAACTACCGAAAAACGAAAAAAGCCAAGTAGAGCCTTTCCCCAGCTCTTGCAGCCTCAAGCTCCTCATATCACCCAACAGAAGGGCTCCAAGTACCAATTATGTTCGGATTTATACCCTGTAGCTAGATTAAAGGGGCCTCAAGCCACCATTCTGAAGGGCTTGGGGCTTAGGGTTTAGGGATAAACCTGAACCCTTGTGACCAAACCTTGCAGCGTCAAGGCACCGTAATCAGTAAACAACACCGAAACAAAACCTGAGTCCTAAATCCTTCAATCGACACACCTAAAGTTACTAAAATGCATAGAGCACAAGCGTCTAAGCACCAAACTTTAATCCCCTAAACCCCAAAAAGGCAGGCGTTAAGCCCCTCCCAAGGCCGGCGGTGCTTTTGGGTGCCGGCCTTGTCGGAGTGGAGCTGGCGGCCGAGCTGGCGAAAGCCTTGGCTGTGCTTCTGGAAGCTTTTGGTTTCGCACAGGTTTAGGCTTGAGGGTGTTTTTAGGGTTTAGGGGTTTCCTAAGGTGTTGATTGGCCCCTACAAGAGTCTTACGAACAGTTTGTTAAGGTCTGGAGTAGAGCTTAACAACAGTCTCGAAAGGAAGGATGCCCAGAAGAGTTTGGTACTCGTATCTAGTCGAGGCTTGCAGGCGTTTATAAGGGTCTAAACCTTTAGGGTTTAGGGTTTAGGAGCCCTACACGAAGAGCTCCAATGACCGGGCCGCTCAACAAACCTATTGAAACCTAAGCGGTTTAGGGGTGTAGGGTTTAGGGTTTAGGGTTAGGGTTTAGGCTTTAGGATGGGTTTTGGAGTACCATGCGGTAATGCTTGTTTCTGGTTATGAAGAAAAGTGTAGTAAACTGTTTCTCCCTGGTTACCTCAAAGCCCTAAACCCTAAACCTTCAACGCCAAGAGCCCTAAACACCAAAAGCAACCCCAACACCTCACATCAAAAGAGCTTACTTGGGGCATCTCCACCCATAAACCCTAAACCCTAAACTTTTCTTTCATACGGTTTTAAGTCCTACTAGGTACCGTGGGGAATGGCGATTTCCTGGCTTTTTTTCGCAATTGTCCGACCCCAAAGTCAGGTGTTTCTGCTGGGTTACATCGGTTTTTCCGTGGGGCAGTTGCGATTTCGGGCTTTTTCGGTACTGCTAAAGCAAGACATACTGTTGTGAGAATTCAATGAGGGAAGAAGGAAAGCTGTAATATTTTCCTAATGCTGAGGGTCTCTGGATGGGTGGGATGATTTTCAACATCGGAGCAGCGACCTGGGCTAGAAACTGCTTGATCCGGGAGCTGCTGAACCCTAAACCCTACCCTCAGGCTCACTTCTTACCAACCTTGCCGGTGATCTTGGCCGACCGCTGCTCGCGACCCTTGCCAACTTTGCCCGTGGACGCGCAGGACCGCTTGGACAGTTTTGTCTGGCTTTGAGAAGTTCCGCTTCAAGGTTTTATAAGAGAACTTTGAGGATTGTTAAAGGGAAGTGTCGAAATACAAGAGTAGCCACAAGACCATACTGTCGTATAGACATAAGACGGTCATAGGTTATGGCCCCTAAGCCCTAAACCCTAAAACCTATGGGGGGCTTGTTCTGTCGCTTCACGGCGCCTCGAACCTGTTCTGCTGCTCTCCCTGCAGTCACTCGTGTTGACCCTGGGCCAGGGTTTAGGGTTTAGGGGTTTAGGGTTTTAGGGTTTAGGGTTTAGGAGCTCAGCATGTAAGAAAAGGGGATTGCGTTAAGTACTCCTGAAGCCTTAGAGCTGGGACGGTCGCTGTAGAAGTAAAGCTGCCAAGATGTCAAGGTAGTAGTTGTCGAAGAAGATGCGACAGTGACAAGTAACAGGAGTCGTAGTTGTAGTCGGGGTCGTGGTGGAAGTCGTTGTTACCACAGCCAGTCGTCGTCGAGTAGTAGCCGAAGTAGCAGTAGCAGTAGCAGTAGCAGGAGTAGGAGTAGCAGAAGGGCTAGCACTAGTAATGCTTATTTAACAATATAGAGATATATAGTAATAGCAGCAGTAATGGTACTGGTCATCGTAATAGTAATAGTTATTCAATAGTAGGTAGGTAGGTCGGCTGGTAGGTAGGTCGGCAGGTGGGCAGGTGGGTGGGTAGGTAGGTAGGTAGGTAGGTAGGTAGGTAGATAGGTACGTAGGTAGGTAGGTAGGTAGGTAGGTAGGTAGGTAGGCAGGTGAGTCGGCAGGCAGGCAAGCAGGCAAGCAAGGTGGGCAAGCAAGCGGGCAGGGAGGTAGGTAGGTAAGCAGTGGTAGTTGACGTCGTAGTCGTAGTAAGTAGTAGTGGTTAAGAAGCCTGTCAGTGTCACTAGGTCAAGGCATTCTACTTCGATTCTACTTCTCTGAACCGTTCGTTTCATCCAAACCAGTGGGGTTCCGGCTCCAGCATGCAGACCCAATCGCAGGCTTCATCGCCGCCAGCACCAGCGAAGATGCTCACCCTCGGTTATGGCAAAGTTGAGTGAGCATAGCAAGCTTCAGAAGCATTCAGAGACACACCCGGTGCATGCCAGTCGAAGGACTCAGGGAACAAACCCATTTCGGCCGTGAACACAGGAGGAAGATGCGAGATGTGAGCAACCGGCAGCACCAGCGGGATATGATCGTCCCAACCGATCCAGACGGCGCTGCGAGCCCGAGTGCAAACGGCCGGTCACGGTCTCCAAAGAGTCACGAAACGAGGCGTCGCGATGATCATTGCTTCTGTGTGCACTGTTTCCATCACACTCCCTAGTTGCAAAACAGGGCTTATGCTAGCCTGGAAAGATTGGCTGCGAAGAGCAATGATCAGCAGTGTTGCCTTTCAAAACCGAGGGAACGATTCTAAGGCCATCTGTAGACTCCTTTCTAAGGCAGTACGAACCAAATCTCAACAGAATTTCCGTTGAGGCAGCAACAGAATCAGGCAAAATTGGTGTTGGCAGCTGTGCCGTGGGAATACAAGCATGATTTGGAATGAGAAGTTAGGTGCAAACATCCATGTCAATGTCTACACCTTCAAAACACAGGCGCCACCCATGTAGTGCAATGATGGATGATGCTGCTTTGGGAATTGCTTGGTGTAAGCAAAACTCAGAGGAAGTGTGGCTGTGGCAGTTGGAATGCCGTGCTGCGTCTGTGCCTGGGCTTGTGGCCTCGATCGGGCAAGGAGCAGACGCTGCACGTCACATCATGGTCCAGCGTGTCTAAACCAACCTTTCAAATTTGGTTACCCAGCACTTTCTCTGCGAACAATGCCTGGCTATGCGAGATTTAGTGCCACAGCTCAGTTCTACGTAGACTCCGATTAGGAGCCCGATGCTGTACAATCTGAAGTCAATAAAAGTCCGAGGCCGAACTCTTCTTAATCATATTCTGCTCGCATATATGGTCCCATGTAGTCATAGGGCGTCATTCCACGGCTGTCCTGCAGCGACGGGTCTGCTCCGAAGAAGAGGAGCAAGCGAACCATGTGCCAGTCTCTCTCTTTTGCGGCCAGATGAAGCGGATAAGTTCGGCACAGCCCCCAACACGACTTCTTTGCCACATTGACATCGAAGCTGTCGCTGCGAATGTGATGGTTTTGCAGGAACTTGTCCACCTGAGTCTTGGCCTTCTGGAGGTTTGACTGCTGCAACAGGGTTTCTTGATACCTTTTGCTCCTTTCTTGCTCTTTCTTCCCTTGCCACCCTGCAAGTTGCTCCGCGCTGCACTGCACTGCTTCGTCTTCTTCCAGCACCTTGCAGCGCCCTCCGCGTTGATAAAACACTTGATTGGGCAAGGGCATGAAGAGAGCTATGGCTAAAGGAGCCAGACAGCCTCGCGGAAGATTTCAGGTTTGGGCTCGTAGCAAGAGACGGACCCTAATAAAAACCTTCGTACTTGGGGCCAAAGGGGTTTCGAGGTTGGGAAGTGACGTTCAGGGTCTAGGATCTATAAGAGCGTGTTCAGGTTCTTCAGTGGCTACCAAACCGACGTTTCCGCAAAGCCGGTATCCTGATTCGGAGGCGCATTCTGTTGCGGCACCTGTTCAAGAACTTCATTCTGGGAATCTTGATCGCGCACGGTAGACGAGCCACACCATCTTGAACAATACGACGTCCTGTCCCTGCGACATGTGCCACTACGAATGACGGCCAGCACCGTGCGACAAGAGCACTCTACGGCCAGATTGTGTCTGTCGCTTCACCGGGGATCGGGGCTGGCAGCTGAAAGCATCGTAAGAGCCTCCCATGAGCATCTCCACCTGCCCAGTCAGCACTTTGATGAGGCGTTGGATCACAGAAGAACCTAGCCGAAGCATGCTTCGCGGCTGATTGCTTCACGGGGTTCGATCCACCGAAAGACCGAGCATGCTGCGTAGCACAGCGACATGTCACCTAACCCACGCCAAAAGCTAGCGAATGCAGAGCGGTCCACTGGAGATTGCCATGGTTAACTTCGGCATCCCTGCACAGTATTCAAACAGTACGACTAAGTCCGATGGAGTGCAATAAAAGCGGAGTCTCGACAGCCAGAACCTTAGATTGTCCGATTTTGTGAAGTTCTTTGAAGACAGAGCCTTTTTGAGGCCTAACTGCTTCGCCGTGTCCCCACCTGCCTCAGCACGCGTCAAGGCCTCTCCCCACTGCTGCATCGTCGCATAGGCCTGTGTAGCTCAAGGCCCATGATTTTCAGGTTTAAGGGTTCAGAGTACAGAGAGCTCAGAATGAGGCGATAAGTACCCTTCTTCAGTGATCCTAAACTTGAGCCTCTGAGTAGGGCAGGCCTAGAGCTGCGGATCTGGCGACAGTGAAGCCACCGGCAGATCCCGAGATGCTTCATACCCTCGCCATCTGCAGTTCTTATCATCTCATCATAATTTCCACCACCGCGATGGCACCGTGCTGCACCTTTCCCCTCAACCCTTACCCGAAAGGTCTAAAACTGCTGCGTCTCCTGCCTTTCTCCTCTTTTCAAGCCTGAACCTATAAACTACTTCTCCCCTCTTTCTCAACTCTTCTCACAGAAGAAGGCAATGGGCATCCCAAACAAGCACCTAATCAAATAAACACATAAGGTTGGGTACATCCCTTGATCCCTTCTTGAGTAAGCCACCAAAGTCAGGAGATCATGCCTAAACCCTCAACCCTAAACCTCAACTCCCCCAAACTCCTAAACCCCTAAACCCTAAACCCCTAAACCCCAGAACCCTTAAACCCAAAAAAATTCCCCCTAAACCCTAAAATAACCCCAACACCCCTCAACCCCAAGCGCTTCTCTTGCTTCCCCCTTTCTACCCCTGGCCTCCGCCCGAAGAGTTCCGGACTCGGCCGCGTCGCCCGCTCCCTCGGCCTCCTGCGCGAGCCTCAAGGGGACGCGTTAGGATAGGAGGGGTTGTTAAGGGGGTATAGGCTGTCGGGCTTTAGGGGTTTAGGCCGGGTTTAGGGGTTTTTAAGGGGGTGTAGGGCTTTAGGGGTTTAGGGGTTTAGGGCTGTTAAGGGGGTGTAGGGTGTAGGGTTTGAGGGCTTTAAAACTTTAAGGGTGTAGGGTTTAGGTTGTAGGGTGTAGGGTGTAGGGCTTTAGGGGTTTAAAGGTGCAGGGTTTAGGTCAAAGGGTGTAGGGTTTAGGGTGTGGGTGTAGCGTTTAGGGTGTAGGGTTTAAGGCATCGTAGAGGGCCTGAAGGATTAGCATAGGGCTCCTTTAAAGGGGTTTACCTTCTATAAGGGTCACCTGAAGTGTTGAGCATCATTATTATAAGGACCCCCAAATAGGGTACCCTAGTTTTCGGAAAGTCCCATTTGGCTCTGCGAAGTTCCAGGGGCCCTCGCGCATAGGGTTTGAACACTTCTTACCTTTCGGGTTCTCAGGGATTTAGAGGCTTACTGTTACGTCTTTAGAACTCAATGTAAAGCCCTATGTAGCTATCTTAAACCCACCAAAGAAGAGTCTTGCTACTATCTACTATTCCGGACTTCTACATGAAAAGACTCTCAGAGCAACGTATCCTACAATCGGACGAGGAAGATCTGGAACGGAGGTTTGGGGGTCAGGCATAAGCGTTTTCACAGCCCTCTGCAGGCTCGAAGCACCGAATAGCCTAGAACAAGACTTTACAGACACATCAAATACCAAAAGGGCACAATGCCTACTGCCTTCCGGCATGTATCTGATTTCTTTAATTGTACCGCCGTGCCGATGTGCGGAGTTGCATTCCGTGTTGAGGTGCCAGACAGTTTTGAGTGCAAGCCCGTGTACACCGAGATTAAAGCAGGTGTGCCGCCGCCGCTTGCGCACAAAGAAAGACAGCGACCCATCGATAGATATACATGAGTAGACACAGATAGATGGGGCTCCTTTATTTTAGTGGTTTCAAGCATATCATGCATGTTCCTGAAGTGTGCGAGGCTGAGAGCGCAACTCCAGAGCTGTCTGTGCCTCGACCCGAAGGGGGGATCTCCAATTCGAGGAAACCAAGAGTGGAACAGGGTTGCTTCAACGGGACTCGATTTTCGAACCCTTGAGTAGCCTTTAACTAATTTTTGTAGGAGGTCTACTTTAGGCATATAATTATTCTAGGGCTTAGTATCGGGGACGTGTTTGAGGGGTATTGTAGGGTTTAGTAGTAGAGGTGCCTTAACAATGAAAACAGATCTTGGATGCTATTATACCGAACCATGAGAGGATACCATTGGGCCGTGGAGTCGCAGGCTATCACTGACCAGCCTAAACTCTAAACCCTACTAAGGGTTTAGGGACCACATTGGTCGAAGCGAAGGATGCGATCCACGATGACGGCAAAGCGGACTACCGGGCTCAAACTGCAGACGTGCGAATTGAAACCCCGAACCGCCTCTAGCCTAAACCCTATGTAAACCCTAAAACCCTGAACCCTAAACCCTAAAACCCTAAACGCTCTCAGCAGAAAAGGGTCGTGGCCTCTTCCACCACAGCGGCATACTCCTCGGCCCGATTCTCCGCAGCCTCGATGCCTAAAATAGATGTCACGACCACTGCTTGTCTGCTTGTCAAGGTCAGTACGGTTTCTGGTTTAGGGATTAGGGTATTTTTAAGGCTTTTAGAGTTTAGGGTTTAGGGTTTTGAAGGTTACTTTACAGGCGCTCGAAGGGTATTCAGTCCGGGTTTAGAGTCATGATTTAGGGCTTTACAAGCTCAGGGTTTCGGGCTCAGGGTCATCATAGAGAACTGTGGACCGTCTTGGCCTCGTACAATCTTTGAGCATAACTATACAATGATGGTCCCCATTGTGCGATGCTGTGTTTTGCTGGTGGAGGCTTGGCGAGACGACAAATATGGGCGTGACGAGTTTACGGCCAAAGGCTCTTCCCCATCGGGATAGCGGGTCAGCTGTAGTTTTGCGCAAACAAACGTATCGACAAGCTGCTATGCTGACAAAGAGATTCATTGACTGCGCTGACACAACAACTCAAGAAGTCATTCGGGTATTGGCTTGATAACGAAAGATCCCCCTTCCCAGACTCACACAACCGGTAGACAAAAACGAAACGACTACCTCAAGCCCAAACCCGACATCGTGCTGTTAAGACTCCTATAAGTATGCCTGACCCGAATCCATGGGGGCCTGAAGTGAGGTTAGACACGGGCTTTCGGGGTACCCAAGACCATAACTATATAGACAACACGCATGGTAAACTAACCGATGCTCCGAACCTTATAGAGCACACCGTCTTGGACTCTGGCGGCTCAGCTTTGAGAGGACCTGCTGCCTTGCACCGAGAAACAAAATCGTAGTAGTAGTAGTAGTAGCAGCAGCAGCAGCAGCAGCAGTAGCAGTAGTAGCAGCAGCAGGAGTAATAGCAGTAGGATTAGTAGTAGCGGTGTAGTAGTCGTCGTCGTCTTCTTCATCGGCGCCGTAGTTGTAGTCGCAGTAGGAGGAGGCGGAGGAGTAATATATGATGGCGACGATGCAACGACGGGAATGTCTTAGAAGAATGACGGGTGATTATGACACAGTCGAGAGTTTAGGGTCTTTGGGCGAATTTCATGATATGCTGCTGTGCCCTCACCCTTAAACTAAAAACCCTAAGCCTTAAAGCACACCCAAAGCCCTAAACTCTAGACTCTGAAACCTTTATCCATACACAATCCAAAAGCCCAGAGCCCAGAACCCTAAACCCTAAACCGTCAAAGCTAGTGCAGTAGGAGGCCCGGCGCGGTGGACGGGTCGTCCCAAAGGTCCGCACGGGTGGACTCCGAACGGATGCGTTTCGCTTCGGCCTGCAAAAAGCTGTGGGCCAAGAAGGGCTTCGGGTTTAGGGCAGGTTTGGGTTTTGAGGGTTTTTGGGGGGTTTGGGCGTTTCTGGGGTGAAGCGTTTCAGGGCTTTGGGTTGTTGGGTTTCGGGGATCTAGGGTTACAGGCTTTCTTTGCGATTTGGGGGGTGAAGAGGGCTTCTGGAGAGAAGGCTTTAAGGTTTGTAAGCATGTCGGACTTAGGGCTTCAGGGTTCACGGCTGTAGGGATTCAACGTTTAGGTGTACGGTTTATTTAGGGCCTATAAGGCCTTGTGGCATGGAGCTTTATGTATGAGGTCCCCAAGGGCTCGGGGTTAGGACAACCATGACAACAAGAATAATGACGACAACGACGACGCTGGAGACAACACAGCGAGCAGAAGATCCCTTTCGCAACGAGAGGCGGTGGCTGCGACTTGGAGACTGCTTTTAAACATCTCTGATAACTTTCTGGTGGGTGGGTGGATGCAGGAGACGAAGAACTTGACACCCTTCA